TGGCAATGAGAGCCAAATCGATCCACCGTATGCTTCTCTTTCTTCGTCACTGCCCTCATCAGTCGCAAACGCGCGCGCGAGAGAGAGAGAGTGGATGCGGCAGTGCTTTCTTTTGGATGCCCGAATCGTCAACGACAAGTTCATACACCGGTGAAACGACGTAGTGCCAATAAACTCTAGTCTGTTATATCTCTTTCTTGGTTTGAAGTGTCCTTATTCGGGAACGTCCGTGTTTTTCCTCCTTGTGTAGAACAGAGTTCTTGGTGCATGTATGCATATATGGTGGCACAGAGACCAAACCGGTTAAACTGGAACAACATTGGTAGCCAAATACCTACATATTTATATCATAGTAATTACAACCAAATACGAAATTTGACACATGCACGCAATTTATTTAGACAACAGAGCACTTTCACTATCTGAATGGAACCGATTTCTTATCCACTGCGGAGTACTGACTGAGAGAAAAGTTACCTAAAAGTGTTTCGCACTCCGTTTGTCTGTTTGCAGAGATTGGCAATCTGTTTGCAAACGTTTCATCACCAGCCGAGGCGACTTCACACGCACTGACGATGTCATCTAAGATGGTGATGAAGAGTTTTCCAAGCTATTTTCCGGTTCAACGAAGAGGCCAAATGAAATTCAGATCATCCGGGAACCAATTTTCAATACTTTGTCAACAGTTTCTCATACTGGTGTGTAGTAAACAGTATTATCGGTGAACCACATGGTCACAGGGGTCCAGTTGTTGAACCGCACAGATACCAGTGAGATAAGCATAGTTTGGCACCGAGCGACAGCAATGCCAACTAATACCGAAATCGAATGGCTGAGATAGAGCTTGAACTAAAAACTTTGAAATCCTTAAAATACCGATGAAAGAGATTCGAATCATTGCATCATCACTATCACCACTTCAGCATTTTTAAAAGCTACTACACAATGAACTACATAATGAGGCGTAAATTCCAAACTGTATGCACACCGTAAAATGATGATCAGAAAAACTGCCAAGATTCACAGGTTGATTTTTATCCGACGGATAACAACAAAGAGTTTGTGATGCAATAAAATCATTGAAAAGCTAGAAGGAAAGGCTCGGAAGCAATGTATAGTCTTTTCGAACTTGTTGGATATCACCAACACCGAGAGTTGGTCGACCCGACTGACAATCAAGCAAGCCTTACAGGTGAGCAGCTGTTCTGTTCATCTGTTTTTCTCTGTATTTCACAAAATTCCAACCAGAGTATTTTTTAAATATTCTATTTGAACTAATGATGTCAGCAAGAACAATGAACTAGAGCCCTACCTTTTCACAAACACACAAACAGTTTGAAATTCCCGGATCGATCTGTATGTGATAGGTCTGAGAAGGGAATTCATATTAGGGTGGGTCCATCATTAGTGCATATTCACAACGGTATCAGTGACATTTCTGATGGAAACCAATGGAGTTGTAAGGATAAGCCTTTCGAGTTCGCAAACCACGTGTTTCATTTCGGATGAAGCGATTAACTTGAACAGGTATGAAGTTGATGGTACACTGAAACAGCACATAGACCATGGTTAACGCCGCGATTGGATATCTTTACTGCAGTTTGTTTTGTTTTCAGAAGACCCGTTCCATTATTATAACTGTTTCCTTTTAGATTAAGCGTACAGAATATTATGTATACGATCGATTTAATAATGTTCCTCAAGAAACAGTCTCAATGAGATTCGTCAAAATGTAAGAGGTTTGGAAGGCGTTGCATGCTCAATCCACAGCGCAATAAGTTTTATGTTTAATTTAGTTTGTTTGTATTCAGTCATATGTTCTGTGAGTTTTCAAACGATCTCCAATAACGGTATTAAATTGTCTCACTCAATTGACCAATCGTGTTCTACTGGGTATTTTTATTACACACCCATTAGCCGCTCCGTAACTCTGTTCGACAAACCAATGCTACTACGGTTGCCATTCACACAGAAACTACTCAGAAGGATATTTGACACTTGAGTTCAGTGAACTGAAGGTGAAATAGATAAATTTTCGAAGAGGGAAAGTGAAAAACTTAAAGGTTACTAAAAATGTCAGAATGAGAAACCTCCGCGGGGACTTTTAGCCTAGTTAGTATGATAGTAATCTATGTAATCCGTGAGTCAGATGTAAATTCATTTACCAGAGGAAATCAGTTTAGGTTCACAAGAAAATAATGCTAAAATCTCCTATGTATCAATTTCAAACGAGACAGACTAAATACTTTACCACACCTTTCACTGCAGTAAGACTTAATTTCATAAGAGTGAATTTTCTTTCCGATCTAGCTGAGCTAATCAAGCTCAGATGCAATGGTTTACGTTTGAGTTCACCGAATAAACAAATCCTAACTGTGGTTGGTCGAATCGTGTTCAACCGGAACGTTTCCGAATGAACTGAATCAACAAGAACGATTTTGCGAATTATACCCCATATTATCGAGGATCTTGGTCAAATGTGTGATTAGTCATGAAAGGAATCAAACCGTACAATGAAGAAGTCTTTTTACGCCCTTGTCATTGCTCTTGAAGGGACACAATATGAATACAAACCAAAAGGGAATTTATCGTTTGAGTTGTTATGATAAAAATGGGCCTGGTGCTCATTGTACACAATCAGGATGAACAATCTTAAATCATCTCGCAGTTCTGGTTTATCCAGATAGATACGGACTCCGTTCTTGCTTGCTAATGTCAAAGCCTTATTACGTCCAAGAATTGAGATGGGGATCGATAAGAGAATTGTAAATATCAGTGATCTGTCACTATTAACAACAACAACAACAGCAACAACAACAACAACAACAACAACAGCCCTACTCATCCATGCATACCTGGATTGAGTTCTCTGTACCTTGTCCTCCATCTGGATAAGCGGCATCATAGGTGCACTTGAATAGGTAGACTTTCGGGTCTGAGGTGAAAGTGAATAGTTTTACTTCATTGTGGCATTCGATTCTTGGTAGTTCATAGAACGCGCGTCTAGCAATATTCAAAGTAGGGTTCACTGCGCTGAGCAATTGATTTGTTTTTCAAAATCCTGATCAGAAAGGAAATTTGATTAACACTTTCTCGCCGTCTGGCATATTTTCTCTGGTCTAGTTTGTCAGATCCACTAATGGCCAACAAACTCATCGTGTTCCATTTTGCCTGTTCGCCGAGCTTGGCAATTTGTTTGCAAACGTTTCATCACCAGCCGAGGTGACATCATCAGTGCTTGTGAAGTGGCAGTGTTCTGTCTGTAACCGTTCGTTTATATATGCGATCTTCTCCATCGGCTATTTTCGCCCCCT